CAACGCCATAATCGTGCGAGATAACCTATCCGACAAATGTTTCTATTTTCCAGTAAATTTGTTCGATAAGTATTCTCGCATGATTAGGGCGTTGTGCGCGGGTCCACCATCCTGTTGAAACCAACAGTGTCCAACTTTTATTTTGTTAAACTTAACTCTGTAATTGTAAGGCTCGTTGTAAGGTTTACCATAAAATTCGATTATCTACGGAAAGTTTCTTTGTTCAACATCCCCCACTTGAACTGCATTTTGGGACACCCAAAAGATCTCTGAATGTATTAATAACTGAACAATTTAAATCTAACATTAAGAAAAGTTACAATATTATACTCTCGGAATTTTAGAATAAAAGCTATCATTATTGACTCGTGATATAATCTACTATTATGGAATGAAATACAGGAGAAAAACAAAATTCATTTGGATGCATCGCCATTATATTCATGTTGATTCGGCAGATCTTTTTACCCGGGGATGTTTTTGTTTAAAAATGAATGTAAAACAATTGATTTTGAAATTTGTTTTATAAATTTATGTAAAAATGTAGTGTGCACGTCATTTATTTTCATTTGTCCTCTATCTCATTCCGTAAAAATCCAATATGACGCCCATAAGCGGTCGCAAATTTAAAACCTACATTAATTTCTGTCAAGGTGAAAAACCGAAGTTTTTGCCATTTTTTATTTGCTAATTTTGAAAAATCGCAACAGCCCTGGAAATTTGTTTAAGACTTTCAGCGCCCACTCAAAAATTGCTTAGGCTTTAAGGATTCAATTAATATCTGACTTATCTTGAACGGTTTAAGAAATATGATTTTTTTAATGAACAGATAAGTACAATCTTAAATTTGTTGAACTCAAAATATACCTAATGGAGCATTTAGAAAACATGGTATGTTTCTATCAAGATGGCGTCAACTTGCGGTATTTACGGAAGCGGTGTTTTTATTTCTATTCGTAATAGTCGATTATTTCCACTGTTTAGTTTAAAAACTTCTAACGGAGGGGCTACGGGAATCTCCCCGTATATACGTATACTACTTTTCCGCTATTAGCATGTGTTAAATTTTCAATTGTTCACTTCAATAGCTCATGGTATCTCAGTGTTAGGGTTTCGTCAGAATTGATACGATAGTAAAGGAAAATTTTAAAAAATCCAAATGTACCTACCAACAATTTTCGAAATTGCCTAATATTTGAGGGGTTGATACATTAACAAGTGTACAGTGATTCTTGAAAGAAATTTAATTCCCTTCAAAATACGACTGGAAGGAAAAGTTCGATCGATATCCTATTCGACGTTTTTTGGCATAAAATGATTGGACATTATGGGACACGTATTTTGTAATTGTTTTTTCGTGTCATAATAATATCAATAAATATTTACTCCATTTTCAAATTCTTTGAGCCTATTACCAAGGAGTACCCATTTGTTACTTTTGTTACCTTTATCTGAAAGCAATTTAAAATTTCTTAATTATACTTAATGAGACACCCATACATTGAATAATAGATTATTTATTGGATCATTAAGTCATGAGCGCGCTATTCAGAAATAATTTCATTGTGATTCAAATAATGATAAATGTAATACACCTACTAGTCATAATGGGATATCTCTTCTTTTCAAATTCCACTAATACGTAAGATAATTGTTTAATTGGGCTTTAATGACTTAAGATCAAGTTCAGATAAGTTTCAAAAATATCTAAGCATAGATCAATTGTTTTATGTCGATTAATATGCATGCCCATTTACGTAAATTACGGGAGTTTCATTCAAAACGAGCTACCGATTTGAAATTTTAATAACAAAAATTGCAAAAAAAAACGTGTCTATTTAGATACCTAGGGGGAAGTTTAATGGAAAGTTTAGATTTAGTTCCAATCAGTTTAGCCGGAAATGGGAGTACAGACAGACAGACCGACCGACATCATCCAAATTTTTTTGATTCGGATTCCTAGTGCTTCAGAACGTGCCAAAAAACTGGGGAGTAATTTTTTACCGTAATATAATACCTCCCTTACTAACGAGCGTTTAGTAAAAATACTAAATTATTGTGCGAAGTTGACCCCATTTATTTCTCGTTTTTTTAAAACACACAGATACTTTTGTTAGTGCTATTTGGTGCTCAAATATTTCGACTCTAACGTTTTGTAACGTAAATTTAATTACATCGTTTATTTATTTATAACTAAATATCAATAAATTTATAACAGTATTAAAATGAACTAATTTATAACAGTAAAATATTATTTATCACTTACAATTTATAACAAGCACTTCGAAATAGGAACTGACACGCGCTTCAATTTACTTATATAAGAAAATTAAGGATGGTCTGGGAACGTCAGTATCAGATTCCAAAGAAAGAATGCGGAATGTTCTACAATAAACGTCACATCCGCATTCGCTCTTATCGCCTATGACTCATCTTTCATTGTCGCCTCGATGTTCATCTAGATTGCTGGAATGTTCGCTACACTACCCTCCCTCTTAAAACTGCAAAACACGGACGACGGTTGTAGCAGAGACACAGTCCTAGATAACTCTTGTTTTATCGCGCGGTTCTTGCAAGACGATCCTCTCATGCATCTTCGAATTCTTGAAGAAAAAACTATCCACCGTCTTACGAATCGGTTGCGGGACTCTTCAACAGACCACCCCGGTGCCCTAAAATACCGCCTCCAGCATACTGCGCACGATGCGCCAGTCCAATTTACCAAGACCACATCCAATCTTTCGAATTACCAGCTTTAACGCCTTGGATTTGTACTTGCCTTTTTAAGTACTGTAGTGCAGCGTTTCTCAAACTTTTTAATACACGGGAGCCCCTATAAAGTATAATGTAAGATGACGGAGTTCGAATACCCAATTGTTATCGCAGCCCCACAAATGCTGCCCTTTTTTATAAATACAGAAATACCTACATTAGAAGGCCCAGGCATTGGTTTTTCAATTTTCTGGTACCTAGGAAATATGATCCAGTTTGTAGCCATCGGTCCATTTCTGGTAATGTTTTGTACAACTTTTGAGAAACTTTCGCGGAGCCCAGGGCTACTGTAGTGTATTCTAAAAATCTTTGTAACCAGGTTTATCATAAGATGGGTTTTTTGTTGTTACCAAATAATAAAGATATCGCCCTTGCTCCTGCAGGAAACACACCCTACGCATCTCGGGACGTTGAAAGTAAAGAAGTTTTTACTGTTTTTTCCTTTGACTATTGTAAATGTTTTTCTTTGGCATTATAGCAGGAATAAATATTATTAGTATTATTAGAAAATATTATTATTATTATTTAAAACATTTACACTTTCAGCAAGACAATATTCAAGAGCTATAAAACATAATACCACATGAATGTTCACAAATTACAAGAGACACTTGTTAATGTCCATTAAGAATTTCAGCAGTATTACCGTCTGTGTACTAGTGCAGAACATTTTAAGCATTTAATAAAATAAAACGTGAAATGTGTATAAAATTCATTTATTTGCATTTGTCTTGGGTTTTTAAAATTAATTCATAACCCGACCATTCAAATTTGGTTTTGCGGGTCTATAGAGAATGTATGTTCTTTAAAATTATGTGCCAATTAGTTGCATATTAGGATTTTAAAGTGGAGGTGCGGGGGTGAATACTACAACTTCCATTAAATATCCCCCTAGCTATCCAAATGTGCTTTTGCAATTTTTGCTTTTTTTTTTATCAGAATTACAATCGGTGGTTGCTTTCGAAATGAAAGCCCTGTATAAACCCTTGCGTATTGAATAGAAAAAACGTTAAAAATCGATAGTGAGCTTTAATAATAAATTTGCATACGGATGGTCTTAAATTCTGGGTGAGGGTCGACCCCCAAATTATACTGATGGAACAAAAATGTTTTAAGTAAAAACGAGACCTAAATCATAAGGTTGCTTTTTTTTGTTTCAGAAACATGGGCACGTTTAGTGGAAAGGCCGAAATAGTGGGTGAGTATAATCACATTGTTCAACCCTTTCGAAAAGAATTGATTTGTGTAAATTAGAAATTATTTGCAGCGGTCCCTTTTCATCCAACCCCAACGTACACGCGACAAGCTGCCCACTGAAATATTACTGAAAATTGCAATGAATCTATTATGACGACCCCCTTTGTTTCACGCTAATTTGTTTAACGTTATTTTATTTAAAGTAAAAATTGTGAAAGTGCATGTCGTGTGTTAGTAGTAGGTACACGTGCGTCGATACTTTTTTCCAAGGGTGCAGTAACCCCTAGAATCACCCCCATCATACAGTACAGTTGATTGCAAATTGTGTTCAGTTTTTAAAATTCCGACCACTTTTTTTTTATAGAAATCTCAGGAAAATGTTATTTTAAACGTTAGTATGACCCTGTAATGACATATGGTATTGTTGATTGCAGTTAGGTAATGCGTTGTAATTGTAAATGACTTCGCGTGGGAGCTCGAGAAGGTTGTTTTGGCAGAAAAAAACTCGATTTTTCAATGAGCCATTCTAAATACCTACGTATTCGGTTATTATTTTCATTGCATTTGGCGGAATGTGGACGTATTTGCAAACGTTAATATAAGTTACAGTTAGCCAGCGATTTTAAAGATAGAAAATTTCTGAAAAAGCTTGCTCGGCTGAAAAGGACTCGCGGCGTTGCTATGGAAAAACCGCCCTTACATACGGCGACCTCAAGAAGCATTGTTGCAGGAAAATATTGGGATCAATACCGTATACTATTGGTTTTAGTCATTACAGAGTCGCAGCCAATAGTGTGGCGGCTTACATACCCTTGTACGAGTCGAGACGAGCTACGACATCCCCTCGATGTCCGAATTACTGCGCACGGACAATTAATTTAGTTATCGCGTACTCATTAATATTTTATTATCGGCGTTTTGCGTTAAAAAATCTTCTAGTGTATTATAAATAAATCGTCGGATTTGAAAAGTTAGCGGCGAAAATGTGCGATGTTATTCGTAGCTTGTGTTGGTGAGGGTTGAATGAGCCAATGGAGTTTCCGTACTTCGCAGGAGCGCAGCCAAGATTTGGCCGTCGTATCCTCAGTGCTGGTCGGCAGCGGTCATGATAACTACTCCACTGTTTGGCGTCTGTTGGCTGCCTAATAATTTCAGTGTGCTTAGTGTTCATAATAAGTTATTGGGACAATTAGTGTGGAACAATCAGTGTTTCTTAACTTTTGGACACGTGCAATCGGCTCCGTATGTCGGATTTTGGAATAGTATCGCTATTTTCCAGCCCTCTCATTCATTTACAATGGAAACTAGGTATTATTGTTATATCAACTTAATTTTAACGAAAAATTATCAGCTGGTTTTTCCCTGCCCGCAATTACTTCCATTATTTGAGCGGAATCGCGAACTGGGCGTTGTACGACTTCCAAAATCTATACGTTTCTTTTTCTTACGCTCATTTACCGTGGAGACGAAATTTTTTTGACCCTGAATATTTAAACAAAGAAAGAAGTAACTTCCTTTGTCGTAACTTTTTATTGCTAATATAATACTGATTCCATTCAAATTCATACCACGTACCGTGTAGTAACCATAGGACTATGGAGAATGTACGGGGAAACCAGGCAAAGATCAGGGAACAAATAATTATAATTTAATGTCGTCGTTTACCCTGACGAGATATCGCTTTAAATGATAATTATTTTGAGCCGATTTATAGATTCGTTACGCACAAAAAAAATTTACGACGCTCAAGGCGTGTACCAACCATTACGCTGCGTGTGTAAAAGTTAAAATTTCAACTTTTCTCCTTCACTTCTCACGCTCTCCGGTAAAAGGAAGTTAAACCTTTCAAAACAACGGCAGTACAACTTTCAGATGTTACACATTTTCAAAAACGCGCAGGTGAGACCTTGGCCGAGGTCTTCAACACCCAAGTATACTACCTCGGATTGTAAAAGTCAAAAGATTTTACTTTCAAAATAGCTCGATTCGCGAAATAAACCAAACCGAAAAACGTAGCGCGATTAAAACGTCTGGAAGTAGCAAAAATTACAGTTCACCTTGAAGTTCATCGTCTCGCGAGTTCTGCACGTCGACGAGCCTTTTTTTTCTGATCGAATGAAAAGTCTGTTTGGGGAGTGACTCACTAAAAACCACAATGGAGGTGAAACGTTGGCAACCTTCCACGTGGTGAGAAATTGGGATAGTTTCTGGATAGTCTTCTCTTCTTCGACAAAGGGTATATGATTCATAACCGTGGGTAATTTGACCTTTCTGTATACGGCCGGCGATGGGGACCCATTGTGTTGGTTCACAATTTTTCATCAGTTGACCGAAGGAATTGATTTTCTCAAGTTACGTAAGGTGTTTCCAGGGATCACCTGCTGTTTATTTGCACTATAAATTAACACATACTTTAGACAATTCATTGTGTTGTCGAAAGTTGTGTGTCATTAATAATAATAATTACTGACTGTGTAGATTTTTTGTTCTCAACGTTTGTCATTAATGGACGTTTGACCGACACTATTGTTAATGTACATAAAACCTATTATGGGTCGCATGATGGATCCATTTAACTTGTTAACAGTGGTGACAAGTTTCTATTGCACCCGAAATGTCACCGACATGGCTCTGAAAAACCGTATTTGGGTACTCAATGTAAATTTTCGTGATATTTCCCATTGCGAAAATTTAAGGTCTTCTCAGTTCTCCCTAAGAAAGGAAGGAACAAGAACAATACCTAATGTTTAAGGTGTATTAAAGTCAACTAATTTTGAATTCATTTAATTTATTAAACTTTGTACATTATTGGCGTCATCTGAATTAACCACACTTTCATCCATATCATTGTTCCATTTTCCTTCTGTGAGTACCCCTCCGACACTCTGTTATCGAGATATTTGCACTTAAACTGATATATCCAATAGATATGTTTCATCCATCCAGACGTTCTATTATTTTCCTTAGAATGAGGAATTAATTCAAAATGGAATTAATTCGTAATTTAATTCTATTTGGTGAATTAAATCCATTGGAATTAAGCCTTTTTTAGCACTGCTATAAAAGGGCTTAGAATTAAATCCTTTTACAGAAGGAATTGTAATTGCGAATTCTAAAAAAAAGGCTGAAATCACACGAAAGGCTTAAGCTACGATATGAAGGCTTAATTCCTTTCAGAGATGCTACATCAGAAAACACCCCATAGTTCATAAATAATTTTATCAATCTATGCCATGCTAAAAGGAAACGGTGGATGTACAGGGTGACCACCACAAAAACGAAACAGACTGAATAACTCGTAAGGAAATAGTTTTTGGAAAAAAGTAAAAGATATCCCTTTTCAACCAAAATCGACTTGTTTTTTTGTTTTTTCCAAAAACTATTTCATTGCGAGTTATTCGGCCTGTTTCGTTTTCGTTGTGCCACCCTGTATAAATTGGTATAGGTGTAAGTAAAACCAAGCAATGGTGAAACCATAGTCATTGAGTAAAACGCCATGGTGTAGATAGGTATCCATGGTATATACTTTAACTTTTTTATACAATGGTGCTGTGTAGTGTAGTGTCTCCAGAACCACAATGACATCACAAGAAGACTTATGAATTAAGGCTTGTAAAACACAATTCCTTTTTTTTTTTGGTAGGGCTTGCACAGCTCTCACCAATAGATATGTTACAACCAAACGTTCTAATCCCTCTACATGAGTACTCTCTTTTGACACTACGTTTTCAATACATTTGCACTCAAAGTTGTGACCCCACCAATTGATATTTTTCGTCCAGACGTTCCATTTTCTATTCTAGTTGTCCTCCGACAATTCGTTATCGAAATATTCGCACTTGATGTTCTCGCATCACTCATAAGTCTCTTACAAACGCTCTTTGTGAGTAACTTCTTTCGACACTCCGTTTTCGATATTTTTGCACTTAGATGTGTTTTGGCCAGACGTTCCATTTTCTTTTTGTGGGTAGCCTCCTCTAACACTACCTTCATCAATAGATATGTGTCGTCCAGACGTCTCTTTTTACCTTTGTGTGTACTCTCGTCCGGCTCTCTTGTGCCCCCCCCCCTCCCCCAATTACAAAAAGGTAAGGAATTGTAACCGAACTCGATAACAGGTTGTGGAGGAAAGTGATAGTTGGTACAAGTCAAATCCTTTCGTTGAGAGTTTTCATTAGAGTACCATGAAGAATAAATCCAGTGTTCCCCCTCCTCCGTAATTTTAACACCCAAAGATAGAACTAACGGCTTTCCGCTGTTGTCTCGGATTTTGGTGAAGGTTTTTTTAAATTCTGCTCTCTAGATGGGCTACCTGTGAACAAAGTTGGAAAAAAATTTCGATCTCGTCGTAATTTCGTATCTGGTGGATTCTAAATACATAAAGGACCCAAACTTATAGCTCCAGTAGAACCTCCTAGGTCAAAGCTACATTAGAACTACGTAGGTCGTCAAGTGGAATTTATTTAATCCTCTTATTAAGGTACATCTCTAATTTTTGTTCTTGGATGCATTAATACAGCCATACCTATAGCAATGTCACTTGTAGTAATTCAGTACTAATTCTCACGATACACTAATTCCACTATTTCTGGAGGGCTTACAGGGTGGTTCAAATTCACCGAGATTTTTCTCCCAATGATGAACCACGAATTTGAACCACCCTGTACATAAAAGTTTCATTATTTCTCGTGAATTTAGTATTTTTTACCAAACAGAAAAAAAAACAAGAAAAATTGACATTAGAGAAAGAAAATTACGGAAATATAGGACTTTATTTGTGTTGTTTGGTATCATTAATAATTAATTGGCATGAAGAAAACGCCATTTCTTTGAGTAAATTCAGTAAATTCTTCAATTATTGTTAATTTATGTAAATGGTGTAGGTAAGTGAAGCCCAAAACAAGAGACAGTATACCCACATATTTTTTTAGGTATATTGACCTCCTATGAAAATAACTTCGTAGTGGAAGTTGGTAGATCCCTACTCGAAGAAAGTTGGTGCATAGGGGTTTTTGGAAATAAAAATTACCTCGAAAATTACGTAGTCTGTAAAAAAATTCAAAAGTTTGTAGGCAATTTTCCTATAAACATCATTTGGTGTTGCTATACGTGTTTAAAATCAGTTAATTTGTGCAAGGCTTCTCATTTTCCAACATATCTGCATTTCCATGACAATTCCAGGTTTCTGCTTCATTTCTGTATCATTTTCAGAGTGGTGCTCCCCTTGAATATAATACAATCTATACTACATGCACAGACGACGGTGGTACCTTTCGAGGTACCTTTTTGATTTGTAAGCCAGGTGAAAATCCTTTTCTACAATTTCAAGATGTTGGTTAAATTTCGAGGAAACAATTATAATGTCGTCACACATCTATCAGATTATCAATAGGCGTTGCCATGTAGCTGGCGCATTGGTTAAACCAAAAGGCATTCTACGAAACCTATACAAATCTCTACCAGGCTGTATAATCTCCAGAAGATTCGGCAAGAGAAGAGGCATCTGCCAGTAATCAGATTTTAGATCGATCGAACTAAGATACTTAGCGTCGCGTCAAGAATGGTCAACACATAGGGCAAAGGGTAAGCGTCTTTTTTTTACCGCATTCAGCTGTTGGTAGTCGACGCAAGGTCTATGATGCGTACCATCCTTTTTTTTAACTAGACATACTGGAGAGGACCATGAACTTACCACGGTTCGCTAATGCTGTCCTTCAACAATCTGTTGAGCTATTGAACAAAAATAGTGTTTTTATTAAATGGTTCATCTATGATTTGTTGCTTAAGTGGCGAAACTGGGTAGTAACGCTGCTTAATTGGCCTTGTTCCGGGAAGAAGTTCAATTACATGCTCAGTTTCTAAAGTTCAACTTTTGTTGATTAAGATCTAGTTTTTCCACTTTACAATAACTTTATTGTCCGAATAAATTCTGTGGATACCATTGTTGATCCAATCGTTGTCAAGGTACTAATTTTATCGAAAGAGGGAAAGATTGGCCCTTAGTCATTTAAGGCATAACATTGTTCAACAGTTGTCGCATAGGACATTTGAATGGAAGTTGAAAATGTTGAGAAATGCCACACATCTCACCTCTGGGACTATTCCCTTTGCTATCTAGAAATCTCTCGAGAAATCTATTCCTAAGCTGAGGGTATGGGCTAAATCTGGTGTGATTCGTATATGGCCCATTAAACCGAGGAGTTAGTCGATGTGGTATTCTTTCGTACACATGACTGGTAGTCACTGGTATTCCCGTGGTAGTCTCTGGTATTCCTGTGGTAGTCTGTGGTAGTCACTGGTATTTCGAA